TTCCTTGCTAAGTGGTCGTTTTTTCTTTCATTTTGAGACAGAGATGCTCACACTAATGCAACCTGGATGTTTGATTTCCGATGAAATGGAAATAATTGGATTTTGCCAAACAAAAAACAAAGATCCATGATTGATAAAACTACCATTGACAGAAACGTGTTTTGCTGACACGGCAAAATATGAATTGTGGTCATCTGTATATATAAATGTCAAAACATCTTTCGAGAACTTATGAGTTCTACTGACAAGTTTTATATTTCAAATGCCATTCGTTTGTTCTGAGTGTTAAACAAAGGCCAACACCATATAGATATCAGTCATTGGATCTTTGGATCTTTGCACCATGTGCAACTAAACATATATATGTTGCTTTGTCGTTTTGACCGTTCTGGTGTACGTTGTGACTCAAGACCCCACAACGACAATGACATAGGGCCATAGGTCGGGATTGCCCTTGTAGAATATCATTGCATGTATGAGAATACTTGCACAGCCACCTGAAAAATACAAATCAATGTATGATGAAGCTTCAGGATTGTGTGTACTGGAGAGTGCCAAAGTAGTATACCAAACACACGTGTATTAATATCGATATTCCCACATACATTCACGCGAACCTAGAACAATATACATATTGATATACTTACATGTGTATGCTTCCATGTTGACCTACCCTCTCGTGTACAGCTCACCTAGACATACCTGCATATTGACATAAGCTCACAAAGGTGTATGGTGCAATTGGCATAACTACACATGGGAATTTGTTGATATCTCTACACATGGACATTCATACATTTTTGACATACTTCAAGAACTGATAAAGGTCAGTTGTGGGGACATTAGGAATAGCTTATCTTTTGTTGACGGGAAGTCCAGAATAGCGAACGATTAATCAGTTGCAGGGAAGTCAAATTTAGAACGATTGGTTACTTGTGGGCAAGTCACGAAAAGCGAATGATTAGTTGCGGGCAAGTCACGAACAGCGAATGATTAATTGTGGGGAAGTTACGATTTGCAAACGATTATTTAATTGTGAGGAAGTCACGAATAGCAAACGATTAATCAGTTGCGGGGAAGTCCAGAATAGCGAACGATTAATCAGTTGCGGGGAAGTCCAGATAGCGAACGATTAATTGTGGGGAAGTCACGAATAGCGAACGGTGTCAGTTGTGGGGAAGTCACGAATAGCGAACGGTGTCAGTCGTGGGGAAGTCACGAAAAGCGAACGACTGGTCAGTTGTTGGGAAGTCCAGAATAACGAATGTTTAGTTGTTGGGAAGTCCAGAACAGCGAAAGATTAGTTGTGGGGAAATCACGAATAGCGAACGATTAATGAGTTGTGGGGAAGTCAAGACTTGAAAACGATTGGTTAGTTGTGGGCAAGTCACGAATAGCGAATGCTTAGTTGTTGGGAAATCAAGAATAGCGAATGATTATTTGTGGGGAAGTCACGAATAGAGAATGATTAGTTGTGGGGAAGTAAAGAATAGTTATAAGAATAAGGAGTTATAAGTTGTGAGAGGCATATTGTGTTGCTCAAGCGGTGCAGTTAAAGCTATTGTTGAACGTTCATATGACTTGTAGTTTCGGATATATCGAACACATTCTGAAGACCGCGGAGGGATTCCTCATATCTGGAGATGATTGTCAAATATTTGTTCAGTCAGTATGGACAGGGATTTTATCCCAGTAGTAGACAGAATCTTTGGTATGGTCTTCTGAACTATTCAGAATTGATGCTGGCGTGCATGAAGTGTTTTCCATCATAAGAACACCTTCCATCCCCGATAACACGTACACAACTGCTTCCCTAACACGGTTTCGGAAGTAAGCAATAATGGATCGCCGGTAAAAGGAAAGTCAACACAATCCGAACATCCGAACATAATACAGTAATGTGTGTATTGCCATGTTGAGTGTTGTTTAACGTACATGTAATGTACTATATATCGGCCAACAAGCTTGCGGAGTAATTAGTCGTGATGCTGGAAACCTGGCACCACCATTATGTGGGTTTCAGGATTCTTTGTTGTTAATGCTCAACACCAACATAAGTAAAATAACACCAACATCACGTTCAATGTGTTGTTTCAGAGAAATGCGCCACTCTTTGCCAGAAAACTAAACATACTGCACAGACAATTATGTGATCTCTTGTCATACTGTAAATACGACGAGGTTAGAAAGTGACTTCAAAAGAGAAATGTTTTGTCAATCGATCATTGTAATAGTGCTCCAATGATGCTTGTGTGTCCGTGTCGATTTGCAGAAACCACTGAATGCAATTACATATTGTACTATTTGTCATATACTTCCGCGGGTGATAGAATAAATCATATATTGACAGCGTTGTTGAAAGCATTACCAGCATTACAAACGTCAGACTCTAAAGTGGTTCCATTAAGATCATTGCAGTGTGACGTCATAAGGAAAATGAGATCACACTTGTATGAATATTTGATGACTATTTCTGTTTCTGGTTCTTTGCAAACCTTACACATTGTATCTATCGATGGACATATGAGTAGGCTACTGTGTTATATTCATAATCAATAAATTTGATATGCCCAGGTGGAATTATTGACAATGCATGCTTGACAGGTACTCTTTCAAAATTTGGTATGTTTTGTCCTGTTAATAAGGTGCGGGAATTGACATTGTTTATAAATTTGACGCATCAGTGACAAAATTATACGTGATGCAATTCCCCATTTGACTTGTACCATATGTTTCCGTGTTTGTTCAGGTGAACAACTGACTTGCCTTTGCATGTGTTCGTGACGCTGCCCCCGGTAGGGCAGGGATACACTCATCCTTTCGCGAGCACCTGGTATCATCACTATTTGATAGTGATTCATAAACACATGCTCTTGATATAGTCGGAAACGTACAATCGTCTCCGCTTGTAGCAGAAATTTGTTATGAATATGGAAAGGGTTGTGCCGCTTTTATCATTATCATTATCAGCAGCAACATTATTAGAATTATTGTTATTAGTTATAAGCATCAGTAATTAGTAAGACAATAACAATTACAACAGTTTTACAAACAGTTTTAATAGATAATATTGAATCTGTCAACATTCACTGTGGCAATAATCTGCGTAGATTTATGATAATGTTAAGACAGTCTTAACTCCTGAATATTATTTGTTACGTTTTAAGCATGCTATATTTGGTTATGTCTGTAAGATATTCTAAACATAACATGGAAATTCCACCTTCTTGTGAGATAACTGACTGGTTGAAATCTGGCCAGAATGTCAGTACTTAATCTCGACGTGTAGAGACACCAGTACGCCTTTCTACGAATATTGTCAGGAACTTAATGTGTCTTTTATCCCAAATCCAAAATGACCTTAAAACTTTTTCACCGTTCATTTACATGTGATATGTTTGTGATTCGTGTTTGGAGCAATCTTCAATATGTCTGGCCTTCATTACTGTTGAGCGTATCTCTTCCAAATTCATTATGCGCCAATAAGACAGTGATGTCTTGCTGGCGTGTTGTATCGGATACAATCAGGGATAGATATAATCATCTTTATCCTCATGTCCTTCCACCTGCCTATGCACAAGCCATTGGAATTCCATCAGCCTGCTCCGGTCTCATTTCCGCGGGTACCCGGTCCACAATGAACTAACCATTGATCCTGGGTTAGGTGGACAAACCAGCACAGTCGCCATCAATTTTATGGGGATTTGTAACCGGAAGGGGTTCTTCAGCTCCGGAGGAAAGATCGCTTGAGCCTCTGCCGACAAATCAGAGTTTGGGTAATTAGAGTCGTGGCTAAGGTGTTGAATGAGTGGGTTGGGATATGAGTAACCCTGCACCATGACTGTGGAATATATCTAATTTATGAAAACAAAATCACTCTGGATCATATTAAAGCAAGTCGAGCCACATCCAGCCAGCTCTTTATCCACATAAGAAATAAGCATCAGGAAAAATATTAAAGGAAAATTATTTGTTTTAATTTTAGAGGAGATAAATGTATTTTGTAATAAAAGATTTCATGGACAATGTGTTAGTCCAGGACATGAGGGAATCAAGCCCACTCAGTACCCTTATACATGCATTCTTGTCTGAGTATGCCCTCCTGTGTACTCGTAAACATGCATATAGCCAGGGTGGCCAAATTGTCAAATTTGTTGTGCATTGTTGCGTCCCTTATGCGAGGCAGGATCCTATGATTGTGGGTTCACGCCATGATGATGACCCTTTATCTGTTTCATATTGATCACTTTAGAGGGTGTAGGTTTATCGCCTCTTTAAACATTATTTTAGTTATATCTCGGCGTGTCAGCTTAATATGGGAGTTGGGCCCAAATTGATGCAGATGCAGGTATGGGATCTGGGATCCACACAATGTCCCTCAAGGCTTAGCGGTCTATGTAAATAATAATTCAAGCTTGTTTGAATGTCCTTAATGTTGATACCCTAAAGTGAAAACACAAAAGTCATGATCATGAGCGTGCCTCTTTGCCCAAACATCCAATTGTCTCCACCGACACGCGTTCAGTGCTTTGTATGTGTGTGATATTTATGCTGGCGTTGTTAATTCATCTATCTGAGGTAATTGTTGATTTGTGAAGTCTCAAGATGAAACCATTTCTCTCTGAAGCTAAGCCAAAACCCTAACATCTCAAACAATTTTGAACAGATTTATTTAAACAATAAACTGTTCCCGATAAGACAGAAAAACATATAATTTGTCTTCTGGTTTTACACAAAAAATATAAATTGTGCAATGGACATTCTTGATGTTTTGAAAAAAAATGTGTTTATGGGTCCTAAAAACTGAAAATATTGTTCGTATTCCCCTTACTGGATATGAACGAGAAGAATTTTGTTTCTGTCATATCCGATTGTTGATCCAATTTTCTCGAATGAAATTTCCACTCGAAATATGTTGAATGGTTTGCCATTGATTATTTAATATAATATTTCTCATAATAATATTTGTATTTATAAGATCTTTGAACCTGATGTTTCAGAACTACATACCCAGACGAAATGATCACTGTAAACGTAGCCAGCATCGTTGTCGCCGTCTTCTTCCTCGTCATCCAGGTCGCAGCGTTAACACTAGATACAGAACATGCAAGGTATTTTTTCTTCTTCGTTTCCCCGGTAACAGCGTTAACACTAGATACAGAACATGCAAGGTACCCTTTCTTCTTCGTTTTCCCGATAACAGCGTTAACACTCGATACAGAACATGCAAAGTACCCTTTCTTCTTCGTATTACCGTTACAGCGTTAACACTCGATACAAAACATGGAAGGTACCCTTCCTTCTTCGTATTCGCACTCGATACAGAACATGCAAGGTACCCTTTCTTCTTCGTTGTCCCGGTAACAGCGTTAACACTCGATACAGAACATGCAAGGTACCCTTCCTATCCTTTCCCCATCACAGTATTTCAAGAAGATAAAGTATATGGTCATGTGTTTGTTTAATTTTCAAGGTCATCAAAGTTAACTGTACAAAGTAACATAACCGGGTATTAACTGGTATCATCCAGATAACAATAGAAAGTTTATTCCACATATAACGTTATTTAGATCAGATGTCCTTACATGTTCAAAACAGGCTTTGACTTTGTCATTCGTACAAAGATCACAGAGTTCACGCCAGGCATACTTACATTACTATCCCTTGGATAAGCAGAGAGGTGGTGTAGATACTTAATCCGGACACGTGTGTGGTGCAAGGGTGATCTCGTTTTATTATCCCCCGCCCAACGAAATATGTTTTCATGAAACTTTGCATGTCTGTCAGGTACATGCTGAACTGGTGCCTTTTGCTATTTAGATAATCTTATTTTTTAAATTTTTCCATGGCAACAAGTTGAACTTAATGAATTTATGAATTCTTCTTTTAAATGCCAAAAATTCAGTCAGTATAGGATTGTTATCACTGGGGACTTCAATGTGGACCAGTCTGTCCGTGACAACAATGCACTATCCAACCTCATGGAGCAGTTTACATTCGCCCAGTATATCAGTAAACCAACCCACACCCTTGGGGGTACACTAGACTTGATCTTCTGTAATGAGCCCATCTCAGCAGGAGTCTTTCCAGTTCCATACATTGACTATCGTCTTGTGTGGGTTGTGACGGTATAGGTGTAGTATATTGAAGTGACAATCATTATTTCTTTGTATGTTAATCAACGTGGTAATGAACTGAACTTTTTGAATCTTAATATTTTGCCTTTAATCTACTATGTCCAAGCAACATCTTGGGTTTGAACTGGTAATGACCATAATCACATATCACAAACTAATACCATTTATGTTTCTGAACAAATATTCCATGTAGATATTATTACGAGTCAAAATGTTACTTGTAATGTTTTTCTTTCTCCCATCCTCATGTACAGTACAGTAGTAAATGTACTAACTGGTTTTGTCAGTTTGTACTTCCATCATGTTTTGGTGGAGAAGGTTTCATTTTTTCATAGAAATTGTATTTTGCAGCATTATAATTTGTTTCTTCGGGATATTTTGCATTTACATCAAGTAGACGCTCCCCTGCTGCCTTTTACTCCTTACACAATTTCAAATGTAAGTGTTTGTGTGATCAAATTTCACTATTGTTGACATAATATACACTTCATTTGCTGGGCAGAAGACTTGGCCACGTTAGTGGCAAACTCTTCTTTTTTTATAATTTCCATGACAACAAGTTCCACCTCGGTTAAAAAAGGTTAGGTTTGTTTAGATTTAATTATGTCATAAATTCTGCAACAGGGGCGGGAGCTATAGCCACGTAAGTGGCAAACTCTTGTTGGTTTTCTTTTGATAACCTTGATCTCGCTAAGGTCACACATAAAAGGTCACTTTGGAACTGTATGTTTTATTTATATACTAATAACGACACTTCTTTGAGATTAATACTTTATTAAACGAAACTAAAATGTCACGCTTCAAATTACCATTGCTGTCTTTATTATTTGCACTAAAATGTCACGCTTCAAATTACCATTGCTGTCTTTATTATTTATAAATTGATCTGCCACAGACATTGTACAATCGAGCTAGAATTACTTGCCATGTGGTACTACAGATAGATCGGTGTTTCTTGGTCAATGTCTATGATTGTGATGCACCGAGAACTTTCTTTATTCCATGTCATTTAATGCAAAACAAGTTCAACGTGACCCGAAGACAATTTATAGAATTTGTACCCATATCTAGACTTACGTTGGATGATGCGGTTGTGTCCCCTTCTGAGGATATGTTGCGGGACTGTTTTTGAACTTTCTAAGGTATCTGACTTCGCTTTCGGTCGACCATATTCCATAGAAAGTCCACTCGTTTAAAACAATGGTATCTTACGATAAGTGAAGTATTATCTTTGTACCAAATAACTTTTGTCTCCGGAATCAACCTATTTTGTCTTCCTCGTCCATTTGATAGTTTCAACACTAGACATAAACATGTGCCAAATAACATGTGTCCTCGCCATTCATTCAATAATATTAACACTGGACATATTGACGGGTACCAAATAACTTGCGCCTTCAACATTCATTCAATAATAGTACAGTAGACATATTTACATGTGCCAAATAACTTGTGTCCTCACCATTCATTCAATAATATTAACACTGGACACATTTACGGGTACCAAATAACCTGTGTCCTCACCATCCGTTCAATGATATTAACACTGGACACATTTGCGGGTACCAAATAACCTGTGTCCTCACCATCCGTTCAATAATATTAACACTGGACACATTTGCGGGTACCAAATAACCTGTGTCCTCACCATTCATTCAATGATATTAACACTGGACATATGGACGGGTACCAAATAACTTGTGTCCTCACCATTGATTCAATAATATTTACACTAGACATATTGACTGGTACCAAATAACTTGCGCCTTCAACATTCATTCAATGATAGTACAGTAAACATATTTACATATGCCAAATAACTTATGTCTTCACCATTCATTCAATAATTATTATAGTAACACAAGACATATTTACATATACAAAACAACTTTATCTTAACCGACCAGGTAATAAATGTACAACTGTGCCAAAAGCATTTTGTGTTCACCATACAGCTTTTACGGTATAAATCAATGGCTCGTTGGTGTATCGTCATCTGTGACCGATCATCCTTGAGTTTCTACCTGAACGGTAGCTTAATTATGTCTTATCTTACCAGAAGAACATCGCGAATTTCCATAAATGTATCACATCGATAATAAAAACCCTATATACAAGAGTCGTGTAATTGGAAACACATTTTTCTGCCATACATTTGTAAACGGCCATCCTTGCCCATTCCTGCCCATCCTTGCCCATGGTATAGGGAAGCTTGAAGTCTCCATTCGATACACGTCTCTTGCCACATACCAGACATAATAGTCACCAGAGCATAAACTCTCTGCACAGACAAATAACTGCCAAAACTTCAAACAGACCGAGAGGTACATTAGCTCTCTTAACCGAGTCTCTGGTCTAAATGAGACATAGTGTTCTAGTAGCAGACAGTTGAAATAGGCATGTCTGACGCTTCCGAAACTCACTCCACAGACTATCTACCTCTGTTAGCCCCTGCTATGTAGGGCTCTCGCTCATTGCATTATGTTCCTGTTGCGGAGCCCTTGGGAACCAATTTTCAGGCTTGAATGGCAGCTTATTTTTCTTCTTCTCACTAAACCCTGCTGTTTTTGGTTGGAGGTCATGGATCGACAATTATATCGTAGATTGTGTTATCCTGCACGAGAACGTTTCCTTGTTGGAGGTTAAAAACGATTAATTTGATATTTCGATCAATCAAATCGCAGCATTAGCTCTCTATGCAAACTGGATTGAATAACGAATTTAATGTGTGTTTGGATACATGACTGACCCCTATTGTCTCATTAGATTGATATCTTTCTTAGAATTATCTTGTTGCAAACACGCCTTGGGGAATACCATTATGTTTAGATGTTTGTTATATTGTTTCAAATTGCAGGGGAAACACGCGATACATGACAAAACAGACAAAAACTAAATTGTATTATTTAGCACTTCACATGTAGGGATCGATCAAGTGTTCTGATATTTTCATTCTGAAAATGTTAAAGCCCCATTCTTCAAAATTGTTCAGAGATTTCTTATGTATTATTGACGTCATTCAGAAAATTCTTTGCATGACATTTAGAAGTGAAACACATGAGGAAGAGAGTTTATGGATGAACTTCTTTATTATGAGGAACACAGCATTTCCGAGTATACGTTTACTTCTTCATCAGGTGAATGAAAGGTAGGAAGTAGGAAGCAAATATATGTACAAGTAAAAACAACAAAAGCAATAAGGTAACAAACGCGGAAACTTAACAAGGGAAACCAACAATTAATAAACGCTGATAGGTGATTAGCACTGGACAAATGGAAGTCGGGATTGAAATTATCACTAACTCAGATACTTTATTTCGAAAGAGTAGCTTGTGTTAATTATGTCAGATATCAAACTCAGGAGTGAGTGAGTGAGCTAGTTGCTGGTTTTAGTATTACCCATGCCATGTCACAGTGAAGGATACAAAGAATGTGTACCCATGTGGAGAATCAAACCTGGACGTTCTGTGTGAAGATCCACCGCGTCAACCACAACGCTACCTTCCACCGTTTGCCCCAAGAAGGAACACATAAGGCACCTACCTGGTTTCATTTTTTAAATGAAAACAGCTGGTATGTTCCAAAAAATACAAAATAATTTTGCATCGGATTTTAACTTGTTTGATGGATGTCGTGAAGAAATGTGCTATGGCTCAACAAGAAACTGCTTGGCTCTGCTTTTAAGAGAAAAAAATGAATTTTGAAGCAAAAACATTAAATAGTCACTTTATCATTTCACGACATAGATAACAACATATTAACTTTGTTGGGCCAAGTGATGATCATGCCAGCTATATGCAAGATTAACAAGTCTTTCATATTGCAGTGATCAGACTACAGTAAATGTTAATGTCCTTGAAGTCCCTTATCAGTGAGCTTCACATGTGTTCGTAGCACATTATGTTGTGTAACGTAACAGTCACGTTAACTGCCGCTTAAGTGTTGGACACCGATCAACGCTCGTTCTGTTTACC